CACCTGTGGGCACCATTAACGGAGTGCAACTCCCACCCTTGGGGAGTGCAGAGTCCCGACCCCAGGTTCCCAGGCCCTCAGCCCCGCAGCACCCCAGCACGCGCGCTGCACCCCTCCCGGGGCCTCGGGACTGCAGAAGCCGAGCCCGCGCGTGGCCCAGGGGACACGTTAGGAGGGAACCCGGCGGGGGGCGGAGTCAGGCGCTCGCGTTGGCCCCGCCCACCATCTCGGGTATAAAGTGCCGCCCGCTCCGCGCTCGCCTCCCTCCGAAAGGCACGGAAAGGACATCACCATGTCGTGCTCTAAGTCCATGGTCCTCGGGTACTGGGATATCCGCGGGGTGAGTGTGCTCCCCACGGCCCAGCCGCTGGGGCGGGGAGACGGACAAAGAGGCGCCGGGGGCTCCGGCCAACGGCCCCACGGAAGCGCTGTCCTCGGAGCCCAGCCGCGCCCCGCGACCCCAGCCCCGCGGAGTCCCGGTCGAGTCCCCGCCGCCGAGGCGGCCCCGGCCCCGCCCCTGGGACCCGGGCCGGCGGAGAGAGGCGGAGGACGGCCAGCCGCCGGGCCGATGGCAGGGCGGGGCGGGAGCGGGGGGAAGAGGGGGGTCGGCGGCTTAACGACTACCGGGCGGGACGCGGGGCTCGGCAGCCCGGGCGGGGACGTTGGCGGGTGGGATGGGGGTGGGGAGGGGGCTGCGCAGGCGCCCACCCGGCTGTCCCCCCAGCTGGCGCACGCCATCCGCCTGCTCCTGGAGTTCACCGGCACCCGCTACGAGGAGAAACGGTACACCTGCGGGGGAGGTAAGGCGCGTCCGAGCCCCGGGGGCGGCATCGCTCCCAGCCCAGGGCGAGGGGTGCCCCGTCACCTGGAAGCGCTGACCTGCAGCTGGGCTCTCCCTCCGCCCAACCCCGTCCTCACCCTCCACCTGCGCGGCCCCAGCGGTGAAGGGGTCAGGCAGGGGGTGGGGATGCGCTCCTGGGACTGGCTCTTTCCCCAGCGCTTCCCGCCGTCAGGGCGGGAAGGTAGGGAGGTCGGTCCCACTTCGTTCTCTCTTGCAGCTCCTGACTTTGATAAAAGCCAATGGCTGGACGTGAAATTCAAGCTGGACCTGGACTTTCCCAACGTAGGTGGTTTAGGAGAAGGGGCCCAGAGGGAAGGCGTCACCTGGACCCTCATTTCTTCCCTCTCTGGCAGGGGGCCGGGGGGGGGGGGGGGGCAAGCATCTACAACGGGGGCTCTTCGCCTGGATAGAATAAACAGCCTTCAGGGGCTCAAGAACTTGGAGAGAAGAGTTCTTCTCACTTCCACAAAGCACTGACTAAAGCCACCAGTTGCTTCTACTGTGCATATGAGCAGTAAGTGACGCTGGTTATGGGCCATGTTTGTGGCTCTGTCACTAGTAGAAATCGGGTATTTTCATATTCTATTGGATATGTGGTAGGTATTGTAAATAAACATGTACATCCATCATACCTGGACATTGTGGTAATTACTACCCCTGCTTGTTATTTAATTCACTAATAGGCACATATTACTGTTACAATTTTGTTTTCTTCGTTTTTATAAATTGTGTAAATATGTGTAATTTGCTTTATGCCTTTAAAAAACTTCTGCAAGAAGGGTCCATGGCGTACACACACACACACGCACACGCACACACGCACACGCCTACATTCAGGTGGGGGCCCAATCTCCACCTTCTACTTATGAGCTTCTTCCTGCTGACAGGGCATCTTCTCCCTGCTGTTCATGTCCCTGCAATTCTCACCTGCCCCCGGAGACAGGCAGCTTGTTCACTTCACCTTTTCCTTCCAGCTGCCCTACCTCATGGACGGCAAGAACAAGCTCACCCAGAGCAACGCCATCTTGCGCTACATCGCACGCAAGCACAACATGTGTGAGTGGGTAGGGCTGGGGGCGGGGACAAGGCTGGCCGCTCTCCGGGGGGGGGGGGGGGGGGGGGGGATATGTCCAGGGTGATTGCTTGTCACCTGGCCTACAGGTGGGGATACTGAAGAAGAAAAGATCCGCGTGGACATCATGGAGAACCAGATCATGGACTTCCGCATGCAACTGGTTCGAATCTGCTACAACGCGGACCATGTGAGTTTCCCGGGCAGGCAGGCATGAGGGAAAGGAGCCTTAGGAACCCAAGGTCAAGTCTCCATTCTCCTGCCACCTTCCCACCAACCCAAGCTGTCGGAATAGGAAGCAGAACTCTGACTTGGTGGGGGTTTGTTTGTCATAAACTGTGGTGTTGGCCCTCTTCCGTTCCAAACCCCTCCTGTGCATCCTGCCATCCCAACCTGAGGCCCTGGAGAGGAAGGTGCCTGGGGAAGGGGCCCTGAGCCCCAGTTAGCTGTGAACACGATGACAACTATTCTCTTTCTCTCTCCTCCCCCCCCCCGCCCCCCACCCCAGGAAAAGCTGAAGCCCCAGTACTTGGAACAGCTCCCTGGACAACTGAAACAGTTCTCCTTGTTCCTGGGGAAATTCTCGTGGTTTGCAGGGGAAAAGGTAGGAGGAGGGGAAGGGAGAGGATCGCGCTCTGTCGCTGCAGGTGCTCATGAACTCCCCCGACCTCACCATCTTACTGTGTCTCTAGCTCACCTTTGTGGATTTCCTTACCTACGATGTCTTGGATCAGAACCGTATGTTTGAGCCCAAGTGCCTGGATGAATTTCCAAACCTGAAGGCTTTCATGTGCCGTTTTGAGGTGATGGAGGCTCCCTACACCTTTCTCTTACAGAAAACACAGGCTCCCCGGGACCCCAGGGACCCCATTGTGGTGGGTCTTGCCCAACACCAGCTTTTGCCTCGAGGGATCCGTGGTTGGGCACCTCCAGACCTTTCCATCTTGGGAAGGGTCCAGCTACTGTACCCCAAAGGGGGGTGGGGTCAGGCAGCTGTGAGTGCCCCTGGTTAGAAACGGGCCTTCAGGCTGTGCTGGTCTCTGAGGCTTGGCGTGCTTCCCCTGCAGGCTTTGGAGAAGATCGCGGCCTACATGCAGTCCGACCGCTTCTTCAAGATGCCCGTCAACAACAAGATGGCCCTGTGGGGCTGCAAGAGAATATGCTGAGCAGAAGGCTGCCTCCCACCGCTTCCTCTGCCTCCTCCTGCCCCCCGGGGGACCTGTGTGCTTTCTTCTCTGCTCTGCTCAATAAATAGCCCTTAGGCTGCTGGTGTCCCACTGGCTCTCTCTAGGGAGGAAAGGCCGGAGGAGAGTGAGGACGTGGGAGAATTATTACCAAGATGTGGCTCAGTCCCTGCAACACTGACACTCCCATCCCCCAGTGTGTTCAGTGGCTACTATAGAGGGTCTTGCCCAAGCCTTGAGGGTGAGCACTAGAAAGAAAGGTGAGCCCTGGCCTGTTTGGCTCAGTGGCTAGAGCGTTGGCCTGCGGACCAAAGGATTCCAGGTTCAATTCTGGCCAAAGGCACCAGCCTCAGTTGCAGGCTCCTCCCAGGCCCAGGCCCTGGTTGGGGCACATGCAGGAGGCAACCAGTCGATGTGTTTTTCTCACATTGATGTTTCTCTCTGTGTTTCTCTCTTCCACTCTCCCCCAAAAAATCAATGGGAAAAATATCCTTGGGTGAGGATTAAAAAACACACACAAAAAAACTTGTGTTAGGAGCCGTTCCCCAAAAAGCACTAGAGATGCTCATTTGTATTCATTGTTGAAGGTTGAGCAATTGGATTAAGGCATTTCCAGTTCAGAAGGCAATCGCTTATGTGACTCAGAAAGACAAGCTGCAGCATATGTCATTGACGGGAGGGTGGAGTGGGGGCCACTGACGTGTGTGGACATGGGTCTGCCTCTCAAGCCAGCTTAGGGCTCAGCACCGGAGCCTGGCCCCAAAGGAGAAATTGTACAGGCCTTATCCTTCAGCGGCAGGACTAGGTTGAGCAATGAGCCACACTGACAAATGGGTTTGGGGGTTCGGGGGGTGTGGGGGAGGAGAGCATTGGGGGTTAGCCAGTGACTTTTCCAATCTGCAAATGTGCTTGTGTCACTCTCCTACTTAAGTACAATCAAGGGATTCTTAAGCCTCTGGGGAAGGACGCAGTCTCCTCCAGTTTACAAAGTCCTTCAAATCGCTCCACTTCCTGTCCAGCTACCTCTCTTGGCAGTGCCACCTGCCCCTACCTGGGGCCCGGTTCCAGCCTTTCTGAATTCCCCGGGGGCTGCAGGGTGCTGGACATCCTGGCTCTGCCACGACAAACTGGCCCCTGGACCTTGTGCCTCCTCTGACCAATGAACCCTCCCTCACCGGCTGTCATGAGAAGTAAGCCACTCTGCCTAGAGCGCCTAGAACAGACCTGTGTTATGTAAACTTATAAACAAGTTATCCAAAAGCACCGCCTCAGCAGCTTCCCACAGCTATGACTCAGCTCACAGGTGCCCGGCTGAGGCCTCCGTCAGTCTAGGTCTCCCACACACCTGACAGCAGGGCCCCTGCTGACCACCTGGGACCTGAAGCTCGAGTTTGTAAAACCCGTGTATTAAGCCACTGAGATTTGTTTGATCCTGACCAACATTCCCCCGGCTCCCCAGGGCAATATATATATATAGATTGATTTTAGAGAGGAAGGAAGAGGGAGAGAGAAATAGAAATATGAACAATGAGAGACGAGAGAACTATTGATCAGCAGCCTCCTGCAGGTCAAAAACACTGGGGATCAAGCCTACAACCCGGGTATTGCCGGAAGCCGTTCCACCCTTGCTGCATGACACAGTCGCTGCAGGGAAGGAACATCTGCACAGCATATGTTTCAAGGGACCTGGCGTATGTGGTATACTGTTCTTAATATGTTTGCTCCCCTTCTTGGCGCTATGTGTTTTAACCAAGGTCACCTCTCCGAGAAAGGTTGTTTCCCCAGGTAGGGATTTTTCCCTGAAGTTAGGGAGGGGATAAAACCCCTTAACTAAGTGCCGGGAGGGTAGTTAATCACTTTACAAACAATCACACTTAAGCTACATACTCTTAACTCCCTGGAATGGAGATAAGAAACACCCTAACCTTTGGAATAGAAATTGATAGGATTAAAATCAACTGGTATAAATACAGATGTAACAAGACAATAAAAAGACAGAACCTGGGCAAGGGTGAGACATCATCCGCTCGTGTCGAGCGGTCCGAAGCTGATTTCCTAGGAGCTGTGGAGCCCGGATCGAGGAGGAGGCCTCAGGATGTCTGTGGCAGACAAGCTCCTGGCCGACCTCGAGGAGGAGGCGGCGGAAGAGGAGGAAGGAGGAAGCTATGGGGAGGAGGAAGAGGAGCCGGTGATCAAGGATGTGCAGGAGGAGACACAGCTGGGTCTTTCCTGGGATTCGGTCGAGAGCATCGCCAAGCTGTGGGATAGCAAGATGTTTGCTGAGATCATGCTGAAGATTGAGGGGTACATCAGCAAGCAAGCCAAAGCTTCGGAAGTGATGGGACCAGTGGAGGTGGCGCCCGAATACCAGGTCCTCGTGGACGCCAACAACCTGACCGTGGAGATTGAGAACGAGCTGAACATCATCCATAAGTTCATCTGGGACAAGTACTCGAAGCGGTTCCCCGAGCTGGGGTCGCTGGTCCCCAACACGCTGGATTACATCCGCACGGTCAAGGAGCTGGGCAACAGCCTGGACAAGTGCAAGAACAACGAGAACCTGCAGCAGATCCTGACCAACGCCACCATCATGGTGGTCAGCGTGACCGCCTCAACCACCCAGGGGCAGCAGCTGTCAGAGGAGGAGCTGGAGCGGCTGGAGGAGGCCTGCGACATGGCGCTGGAGCTGAAGGCCTCCAAGCACGGCATCCACGAGTACGTGGAGTCCCGCATGTCCTTCATCGCATCCAACCTCTCCATCATCATCATCATCATCATCATCATCATCGGGGCGTCCACGGCCTCCAAGATCATGGGGTGTCCGGCAGCCTGACCAACCTGTCCAAGATGCCCGCCTACAACATCATGCTGCTGGGGGCCCAGCGCAAGACGCTGTCGGGCTTCTCGGCCACCTCTGTGCTGCCCCACACCGGCTACATCTACCACAGCGACATCGTGCACTCCCTGCCCCCGGATCTCCGGCGGAAAGCGGCCCGCCTCGTGGCCGCCAAGTGCACGCTGGCAGCCCGCGTGGACAGCTTCCACGAGAGCACGGAGGGGAAGGTAGGCTACGAACTCAAGGACGAGATCGAGCGGAAGTTCGACAAGTGGCAGGAGCCTCCCCCTGTGAAGCAGGTGAAGCCGCTGCCTGCACCCCTCGATGGGCAGCGCAAGAAGCGAGGCGGCCGCAGGTATCGCAAGATGAAGGGGTGGCTGGGGCTGACGGAGCTCCGGAAGCAGGCCAACCGCATGAGCTTCGGAGAGATGGAGGAGGACGCCTACCAGGAGGACCTGGGCTTCAGCCTGGGCCAGCTGGGCAAGTCGGGCAGTGGGCGCGTGCGGCATACGCAGGTGAACGAGGCCACCAAAGCCAGGATCTCCAAGACGCTGCCGTGGACCCCGCAGAAGCAGAGTGTGGTGTATGGCAGGAAGTCCACCATCGGCGACCGCTCCTCAGGCACCGCCTCCAGTGTGGCCTTCACCCCGCTCCAGGGCCTGGAGATTGTGAACCCACAAGCGGCTGAGAAGAAGGTGGCCGAGGCCAACCAGAACTACTTCTCCAGCATGGCCGAGTTCCTCAAGGTCAAGGGCGAGAAGAACGGCATCATGTCCACATGAGGGTGCACCCTGGGTGGCCGCCCACGGCAGATGTGGAGGCCATGTGCTCCCAAGGGGTCAGGGCTGGGGGCTCCGATGGGGGAGCCCGCCAGTGCCCAGTGCCCAGACTGTCCAGGGGGGTGCGGAGGCCCCCGCACCAAGATCGCCGCCCCAGTTGGGGGCAGAGCGGTCCCCACCATACCTCGTTTTTGTTATTTTAACTGGGAAAGGAGATACTTTTGGGGAAAGTGTGATTAAAAGCACATTGTCAAAAAAAAAAAAAAAAGAGAGAGAGAGAGAACCTGGCTGGAGATCCTAGCTGGAACCTCGCTAGAGAAACTTGCTAGGCTGCTGATCAGCTGCTGTCTTTGTATCATTCCTTCTTCGCTGACTCTGTCCACACCTTTGGGAACCCCTGGACCTGCTGGGGTTGGACCCCAACAGGGTATGTGCCCTTGACTGGAATCGAACCCAGGACCTTTCAGTCCACAGGCCGATGCTCTATCCACTGAGTCAAACTAGCTAGGGCTGCCCCCCCCCACCCCACCCTATTTTTAAATTGATTTTTGAAGAGAGGAAGGGAGAGAAACATTGATGTGGGACTGAACCACTGGCTGCCTCCTGCACACCCCCAACCGACCCAGAATCCAACGCGCAATCACCACACGCCCAACCCCTGGACAGAGCACTGCGCTCTAACCACTGACCACCTGGCTGGGCGGCCTTGCTCTGTGTAAGGAGCAGCGGGCTCTGGTCCGCGCTGCAGGGGAAGAGCCGCCAGGGGGCGCCAGCGACCAGTGCCCGGGGCAAGACTCGAACAGGACGCAAGGGACAACTGGGCGGGGCGCCCCCTACTGGCCCCACCGTCTGTGTCATCAGAACGCCAAAGCCGGAAGTGACACACAAAACCTGGAGAATACGTCATCATCCTGCGCCGACGCAGGAGAAAACCAGGCTCCGGGCACACTCAGGGCGCAGTTTCTCTTCAGGCTCCGGACCAGCGACGGCGGTGGTGTCGGCGCAGGGTGGCTTCACTCCACTGCGGGATGAAAAGGGCTCTTGGAAAGTGAAGACCTTCCATGAGATTCTCCAGGAAAAGAAACGACGGCAGGAGCAAGAGGAGAAGGCAGAGATAAAGCGCTTAAAACATTCCGATCGGTAACCCGTGGGCTCCGTCTCAGGGGCTGAGGTTGGTGAGGTGCGGGATAGAGCTCCCTCTGAGCTGTCCTCCTTTTCCGGAAGAACGGCGCTGTCCAAGAGGGAGCTGGAGGAGCTAACACCATGGAGAGGGAAGACGGTGAAGAGGGTACTAGGTTTCTCAGAGCCCACGGTGGTCACAGCAGCGCTGAACTGTGTGGGGAAGGGCATGGACAAGGAGAAAGCAGCTGACCATCTGAAGCCTTTTCTTGATGATTCTACTCTCCGATTCGTGGACAAACTGTTTGGGGCTGTAGGGGAAGACCGAAGCTCTAGACATTCCAAGTCTAGCAGTGACGGGAGCAGAAAACGAGAGCTGAAGGAAGTGTTTGGTGATGACTCTGAGATCTCCAAGGAATCCTCAGGAGGAAAGAAGCCACGGATACCCCGTGTTGAGGAGGTGGACGAGGAGCCAGAAGTGATCCCTGGGCCTGCTTCACAGAGCCCTGGCATGCTGACTAAGCTCCACGTCAAACAGATGATGGAGGCAGCAACTCGACAAGTCGAGGAGAGGAAGAACAACCGAGTTGCGTGAGCCCCCCTACAGCTCAGCCAAAGACTCCTTCTTCCTCCCACCCAGAGCGACTTCCAATTGGCAGCACTATTCAGCCCTCCCAGGCCGCCATGTTCATGAATGATGCCATGGAGAAGGCAAGGAAAGCGGCTGAACTACAAGCCCGCATCAAGGCCCAGCTGGCACTGAAGCCAGGGCTCATTAGCAATGCCAATATGGTGGGCCTGGCCAATCTTCATGCCATGGGCATTGCTCGCCCGAAGGTTGAATTAAAAGATGAAACTAAACCTACATCACTGATTCTCGATGAGCAAGGTCGCACTGTAAATGCAACAGGCAAGGAGATTGAGCTGACACGCCGAATGCCTACTCTGAAGGCCAATAATCATGCGGTGAAGAGGGAACAATTCAAGCAGCAGCTTAAAGAAAAGCCATCAGAAGACGGAATCCAATACCTTTTTTGACCCCCGAGTTTCAGTTGCCCCTTCCCAGCGGCAGAGACGCACTTTTAAATTCAATGACAAGGGCAAATTTGAGAAGATGGCCCAGTGGTTACGGACAAAGGCTCAACTGGAAAAGCTGCAGGCAGAGATCTCACAAGCAGCTCGAAAAACAGGCATCCATACTTCAACTAGGCTGGCTCTCATTGCTCCTAAGAAGGAGTTAAAGGACGGAGATATTCCTGAAACTGAGTGGTGGGATTCTTATATCATCCCCAATGGCTTTGACCTTACAGAGCAAAATCCCGAGAGAGATGATTATTTTGGAATCACAAATCTTGTTGAACATCCAGCCCAGCTCGACCCTCCAGTCGACAGTGACGCACCAGTTGCTCTGGGAGTATATCTGACCAAGAAGGAACAGAAGAAACTTCGAAGACAAACAAGGAGGGAAGCACAGAAGGAGCTACAAGAGGAAGTCAGGCTGGGCCTGATGCCTCCTCCGGAACCCAAAGTGAGAATTTCTAATCTCATGCGAGTATTAGGAACAGAAGCTGTTCAAGACCCCAGGAAGGTAGAAGCCCATGTCAGAGCTCAGATGGCAAAAAGACAGACGGCGCATGAAGAGGCCAACGCTGCCCGAAAACTTACAGCAGAACAGAGAAAGGACAAGAAAATGAAAAAGCTTAAAGAAGACATTTCACAGGGGGTACACATATCTGTATATAGAGTTCGAAATTTGAGCAACCCAGCCAAGAAGTTCAAGATTGAGGCCAATGCTGGGCAACTGTACCTGACAGGGGTGGTGCTACTGCACAAGAATGTCAATGTGGTGGTAGTGGAAGGGGGCCCCAAGTCCCAGAAGAAATTTAAGCATCTTGTGCTGCGCCGGATAAAGTGGGATGAACAGACATCTACCACAAAGGGAGAGGATGAGGAGGAATCCGATGAGGAAGCTGTGAAGAAAACCAACAAATGTGTACTAGTCCGGGAGGGTACAGCCAAAGACGGGAGCTTTGGGGACATGAAGTTCAAACAGTGCCCTACAGAGAACATGGCTCGGGAGCATTTCAGAAAGCACGGGGCTGAACACTACTGGGACCTTGCGCTAAGGGAATCTGTGTTGGAGTCTACTGCAGCCGTGGGCAAACTACGGCCCTCGGGCCGGATCCGGCCCGTTTGAAATGAATAAAACTAAAAAAAAAAAAAGACCGTACCCTTTTATGTAATGATGTTTACTTTGAATTTATATTAGTTCACACAAACACTCCATCCATGCTTTTGTTCCGGCCCTCCGGTCAGGTTTAAGAACCCATTGTGGCCCTCGAGTCAAAAAGTTTGCCCACCCCTGGTCTACTGACTGAGACTACTGCCAGCCCTTGCCTCCACCCTTATGCTACTTCCCAGCCCAGCCCACTTGCGTGTGATCTCAGAACGGCACCACGCTGACATTGGGATGAAGGGAGAACACATTGCTCTCTTCCCCTGTCAGCCTGCGGCTGCCCTTTACTCCCCGTGTGTGCATATGATTAAAGAGTCACTTTTAAAAAAAATTCTGATGACCTTGACTCCAAGCGGGATTCCCTTGAGGAGGGGGAGCTGAGGGACCACCGCATGGAGATCACCATCAGGAACTCGCCCTACAGGAGGGAGGACTCCATGGAGGACAGACGAGAGGACAATGATTCTTTGGCTTTCAAACCACCCCAGCAAATGTCAGGGAAAGAGAAAGCTCATCACAGGGAAGATGAGAAAAGAGAAACGTAGGCATCGTAGTCATTCAGCAGAAGGGGCCAGCACGCCAGAGTGAAGGGGAAGGAGAAAGAGCATGAGTGCTGGAAGCGGCACCGAGAGGAGCAGGACGAAGCTCGGAGCTCGCCAGGTGTAGGAGAAGTGGGAGATGGCGAGAGAGCATTCCCCGGAGAGAGAGGGACCGCCTGGAGCAGCTGGAAAGGAGCGGGAGTGGGAGTGCAGGCTGCGAGAGCAGCAGCAGTGGGAGCCTGTGGGTCAGAACCGGTCCTGCCCTGATGACGGGCTGCTGGGGCCCGGGCTGCGGTGATGTGGCCTCGAGTTGAACTGCTGGCCTCGTTTTCCACATTTTGTTTCTATTTTGTCTTGGCTTGTAAATTTGTAGAATTAAATCTTATTTCCTTGTGGAAAAATAAATCCAGAAAAAAAGATTAAATGAATGCGTGTGTGATTGAATTTCAGGTGAGCAGGTGCAGCTGTGTGGCCCCACTTGGGGACAACGGGCCAAGCGGAAGCCATGAGAAGGGCGAGTCCCCAGGGTGCGGAGGGAAGGAAATGCATCCACAGGACTGTGTGTGTTGTGGTAGACGTCTGAGGACATGAGAATAGATCTGTTATCTTCTGCAGAATAACATTTCCAAAGTTTGTTTCAAACGGGACAAGCCACGGAAGCTGGGCCTTTCGGACAGGACTCTGCTTTATCGGGGGGCTGTTGGGGCTACCCCACAAAGTGGGAGCAGCCAGATCGGCTAAAGGAGGAGGATGACCATCGGCATTTACAGAAGGAGTTGGGATCCATCAGGACCCGCCCCTCCTCTTCTCTGCTTCCAAGTCCTGAGTTACCAGGTGGCAGCCGGCAGGTGTCTCTGTGACTGTCATCAGTAAAGGTCTCTCCGTCAGGAGTTAGAAAGACAGCGGCTAACAACCTGAAAGTGCGGTCACCAGAGGGACGGAGACAAGAGCCAACCCAGAGATTGGCTGATGTCAATAAAAAGAAGCGTCTTATTTCCCCACATCCCTTCTGAATCATCTCACCAAAGGAGGGCACCCCATGAGCTTTGCAAATAAGTGCAAGACAGTTTCTCTGCAAGTCTGCGTGCAGGCTGCTTCCTACTACATCCCAGAGCTCACCCTTTTCCCTTTTTCCACTCCCCTTCCCTTAGCATCTTCTGTCGGACGAATCGGGGGTCATCGAATTGGGGCAGTATGCTTTTAGCCTGTCGTTTTCAAAATCCTGACCTGAATGTTCCCCACAGGTAGCAGGCAGTTCCGAAGCCGAGTCCTTAAGGCTCCTATAGAGCCCGCATTACCGGTGCCTAACTGTCCACCTTCAGATCTGTCCTATTTAGGCGTCTGTTATTATTCAGCTGTCCCCACACCCAGCTGAACGTAATCCTCGCTAATTCACCTAAAATCCCCTCCCCTTGGCTCAGGCACAGGCCTGCAGGCTCTGAATTCCTGAATTGCACACAAGGGTGCTGCACTTCGGTCTTAAAGGAGCAGGCCCTGGGCATTGGTTTTCTGGTGAGGGTCAGTATTTCAGAGGCAGCAGTGGTGAGGCACTCGCAACCCATACCACGTGTCAGGGGGAGGACCTCCGGTGGGTGTCTGTTCCCAACAAGCAGGTAGGCCCACCTCCTGGCTGCCCAGCCTCCCTGGCCAGTCCCCTGGCCTCCCAGGGGTGCTGCTTTTCCTGTTTCAGCAACAAGGAAGTGATATGCCGCTCCCCTGGGGTGTACCTGAGAATAAGATCTTATCTTGCATACCTTCGCCTCTATCCTACAGGCTTCAGCTGCTGGCTTAACTCCAAGGTCTCCTATAACCTGGGGCTTAATTTTTATACCTTATCTGGGTGTGGGAGGGACTGCAGCTGGCCACCTAAATGCATTCTTTTGAAACGTGGGTCTACCCGTGTCCAAGCAGAGCCACACGTGGGAACCTCACGAACAGACTGTGAACGACTGTGACTTATGCAACTCTGGCCTCACTTGCAAAGAGCACATTGTTTCCGTGGGTTTTTCCTCTAGTTTTCTTCCCAGGCTCATGACACAGCTTCCATCAGAGACGGGAAACACCCTACAAGACGCAGGAGCCACAAGAAGGAAGGAAGGGGCCTCGTCCTGTGTAACTTCAGGGACCAGGGCTGCCCAACAGCCTTTGTTGCCAGGGAGACTGCGAGATCTTAGTTCTTGTCTCTTTTTTTTTAATCCTCACCCGAGGATATTTTCCCCATTATTTTTTTTTAGAGAGAGTGGAAGGGAGGGGGAGACACAGAGAGAACTACTGATATGAGAGAGACCATCAATTGGTTGCCTTCTGCACCACCCAACCAGGGCCGGGGGTCAAGCCTGCAACCAACGTACAAGCCTTTAACAGAACTCAACCCCGGACTCTTCAGCCCACGGACCAACACTGAGCCAAACTGGCTAGGGTTGTTCTTGTCTTTTTTTTTTTTTTTAATGTATATTTTTACTGATTTCAGAGAGGAAGGGAGAGGGAGAGATAGAAACATCGACGATGAGAGAGAAGAGAGAATCATTGATCAGCTGCCTCCTGCAGGCCTCCTATTGGGAATCAAGCCCGCAATCCGGGTATGTGTCCTTGACTGGAATCAAACCAGGGACCCTTCAGTCCGTAGGCCGACACTCTATCTCTGACCCAAACCAGGTAGGGCTTTGTCTTTTTGAAGGAAAGATTTCAATCGAGAGACAGAGTGTAGGAAAGTAAGAATTTATACTTAGGACATTGACAGAGGAAGGGCTTAGAAGAAGCAACAGGAGCTGAGGTGGGGCCGCTTTGGCTGGCTGGAAAGTCAGAGAAAAGGGCGCCTTGGAGACAGGCTCAGGGGGGTTTCCCAGGATGAGCTGCTGCTGCCCACTGCTCCCCTGGTTGCAGGTCTCGTGGAGTCCCTTAGAGGTTAGGGGACACGCGTCTGTGGGGGAATGGCAGAGGCCCTTCATCCTGAGGGTATTTATCTCTTTCCTGCAGGTGGAAACCTCAGGGGAGGCCCCAGGGGCGGGTCTAAGAGAAGATTCAGCAGCTTTGCAGGTGTGCTCTTTCGGGGTCATGGTCTCCCGATTGGTCGGTGCAGGGCAGAGGTCATTAGTCAATGCAGCTGGGCCTGAGGCAGCCATTTACTTGGGTTTTTTGTTTTTCTGGGCCCAGAGCTGGAATACAACTGAGGCCCAGATGTTACCTCTAGGGAGGAAAAAGTCAGGGTGTCCAAGCGATGTGCTGGGGGAGGAAAGGTCACCCCAGGGGTGTGAGTCTTGTTTTTCCAGTTTTGCCCCCTGCTAGGCAGCTGGGCTTTCGGCCCTGGCGAGGTCTGTGCCTGGAGAGGTTCTCTCCTTGCTCTGCTCGTGTCTGGCTCACCGCCTATAACACTCGGACTCTTTGCCGTGGAACCTGAAAGAAGAATAAACTTCCTTTTCTAGAAGCTGCTCTCTTGAGGTCTCCATCAGCTTTGCCTTTCTCTGCTACTACGATAGCAGCTGAGGAACCCTAGGCAGGGAGCTTGTAATTAACACAGGAGATTACAGACCCACGCGGGGGACACCAGTGCCCCCTTCTCAGTGTGGCTTGTGTCCCCATTCTAGAAGGGGACATACACCCTCAACGACATCTGAGCACTGTCACCAGGCACCAAAGAATCCCAAGTTCTGAGACCTCTGCCGGGTCCAGCCACAATCAAATCACCTTTCAGTTGCCTCCGTTTCGGGGTAGACGTGAGCAGAGAGCAAGGATGATGGACCAGGCACAGGCCACCAGGGCGAAAGCCCCGGGTGTCCAACAATGGACCATTGCAGGTGGGACCTCTGGGGGCGACCTTTGCTCCCCAGCACATCGCTGGCCCTGCGGTTTGGACCCCTGACCTTTCTTCCCTAGAGATAACCTCTAGGCCTCAGTTATATTTCAGCTCCGGCCCCAGAAAAGCAGTAAAATCAGACTAGTGACCCCAGGGCTGACCTCAGGACCAGCTGCATTGGATAATGACCCCCCTGCCAGGGCGTGGACCAATCCATGAGTGGAGACTTAGACCCTGAAAGGACCCACCTGGAAAGCTGCAGAATATTCTATTGTGATCTTCCCCTGGGACCTCTCCTTAAATTTCCACCCTAAAAACCTTAGGACAGGACCCAGCACGCCCTCCCAGGAGCACCCCAGGGCCTCTCCCCTCCTCCTCCCCTTCCTCCAGGCAAGTCACCTTTACCTTCCCCACTCCTCAGCCCCAAGCGCCCTTCCTTTGCCTCCGGAACTTGTTTCCTACGCCCATTTCTTCTGAATTACTGCTTCCACCTCTGTGATTTTATAAACAAGTATTCTCTTGTAGTTTGAGTCTTGGTTCTGAGTGATTTCCTAGCCAGAACTCAAGTTCCGAGGTTGCTGCACCCAGATCCGGTCTGACACCTGGTGCCATGCCCGCAGTCCCACAGTGTAAAGTCCATACATTCTGCTACTTCTGCCCCACACTTTAAAATGCTTAGCTTTTGCCGAAACCGGCTTGGCTCAGTGGATGGAGTGTCGGCCTGCGGACTGAAAGGTCCCAGGTTCGATTCCGGTCAAGGGCATGTGCCTGGGTTGCGGGCACATCCCCAGTGGGAGATGTGCAGGAGGCAGCTGATCGATGTTTCTCTCTCGTCGATGTTTCTAACTCTCTATCTCTCTCCCTTCCTCTCTGTAAAAAAATCAATAAAAAATGTATAAAAATAAAATAAAATGCTTAGTTTTTGTCATTTTGACCCCAATGTTTAGCAAATAGTTTTCATTTGTGACTGTTTCCTTCGTTACATCTTCCCTTTTTTTTTTTTAAGATTTTAAAATTGATTTTTAGAGAGGACGGGAGAGGGAGAGAGTGAAACATAGATTTGCTGCCTCTTGCACGCCCCCGACTAAGGATTGAGCCTGGGCATGTGCCCTGACCAGGAACCCACTGGTGACCTCAGTGCATGGGAGGATGCTCAGTCCAGCCACACCGGCCAGGGCTCTTCCCTCTTTGTTAAGGATTGAGTTCTTTTGTTCTGTTACATTTCAGAGCTAATATTTAAGCTTTAATACAGGTATTCCTTTTCATCTACACTTCTAGATCAGGAGTCGGCAAGCAGGCCATCTGTGTTGGAACCCGGGCCCACCCATTCACTTCTGTATCGGCGATGTCGGCTTTCACACGACAGTGATGAGTGAGTAACTGACAGAGACCACATGAGCCGGAAAGCCAAACATATTTACTATCTACGCCTCTCCAGAGAGCATGTGCCAGCCCCTGTTCTGGACGTACAACGGTTTTACTCGGATTTAACATTTTTATTATGTTAATAAACCTTTTCTCGTTTAATCTGCTTATCTGTTATCGTACTGTCTCTCCTAATTTCCATTTTTTTCTCTTTTTTATCCTTACCCCTCCCTGCTTAAGTAAAGTTTAACAAGCTTTTGGTTTAA